GGATTGGGCAGTGTTTCATTCTGCTGTGCATAAGGTCGCTATGGGTCAGTACCGACTCGATGGCACCTAACAACAACAACAACAGGGAAGACCAGTTAATACCACTATTATTCAAATTTATACACCAACCACTAAAACCAGTGAGGATGAAAATGAAGAATTCTACCAACTTCTTCATCTGAAACTGACCAAACATGCAGTCAAGATGTATTGATCATTACTGGTGACTGAAATGCAAAAGTTGGGAGCAAAGAGGACAGATCAGTAATTGGAAAATAAGGCCTTGGTGACAGAAATGATGCTGCAGAACGCATGATAGAGTTCTGCAAAATCAATGATTTGTTCATTTCAAATACCTTCTTTAGACAGCATAAAAGACAACTATACACATGGACCTCACCAGACGGAATAAATAGAAATCAAATTGACTACATCTGCAGAAAGAGATGATGGAAAAGCTCCATATCATCTATTTATTCTACATAATAATTGTAATTTTGTTTGCTGCCTGAATAAAGCTGGGAAGAAAATTTGACAGCACATTGAAATAATAATAAAATAAATAATTCTCTTACTTCGAGCAAGTTTTGGAAATCTTTTTTTCAGTTTCTTCTTTAGTGGATTAAGCTCAGGCATTATTTCTGGAACAGCTACATAAAAGTCTGCATGAAGCTCATCAGCCAAAATCTGAAAATCAGGAAAAAAAGATATCCTCAGATAATGTGAAAAGCCTTATCCGTCTGTAAATAAAAAAACTGAATTATAATCTAGTCATTTCCCTAATAATTCAGATAGCAAGCACAATTCTCATCTTCAAGTATCAGGATCATATGAATACACATACCAATTGTGAAAACCATCAAAAGTAAAACATTTCCTGATGTTTTCTTTTAAAATAGGCACATTCATTTTTTAAAGAAAACACTGAATACATTTAATTTTTCATGCCATTATCGTAGAGGGAAGGGCTATAAACTAGAATATAGTGTTGATATTTATATAGCTCACAGAGTTTAATTCACATTCATCACAAACTGAAGGAACAAATTGAAATTTTGCAATAGATCTTATGTAAAATTAACACCGACTGGCTGCCAAATTCATTAGCAACTCTATTTCTAAATTTAGAGCATCAAGAGAACGGGATCTATAATTATTTTTACAAAGAACTGAAACCAGAATTTCCTTTGTTGCCAATAATGAAAAATAAAAAAGGAGTGGATCAAAGCCACGTTCACTTATAGTTTATTATCCAGACCCTATTTCTACTCGGAACCCTGGTGTGGCACTGTAGGATAAACACTGGACTGGTAATCACAAGTCAAAAACACACAGCTGTTCTTAGAAACCTGTATAGAGTAGCTTGAAGTAGCAACTGACTCGACAGCACACAACATTTCTACTCTAAAAGTAAAGCGAATAACATTCAATACAGAAATCTTTTATTAATTCAAACAATCACCCAAGTTAATTGTTGCACTACAATAATATACTCAATTTAAAATTTTTGTTAATTATAAAATGAAGCAACTGTTTAGAATGATATTGCTTGGGCAACAAATTATTTATCAGTAATTACTTTTGTATGGAATCTTACAAAATGCCATTCAAAGTCTTGGTTTGGGGTTACAAAATAAAAACACACAAAAACCAATCATGCCAAAATTATGCAACAATTCAGAGTTCTATCTACTATCATTTCGTTTTATAAATTCTTTATATCCTGAATAATATTGGTGGTGGTGGTTGTATGTCACCGAGTTGGTTCTGACTCATGGCGACCCTATATAGGGTTTCCGAGGCTACAAATCTTTACAGGAGCAGAAAAATCTCATCTTTCTTCTGTGGAACCACCAACAGATACAAATTGCTGACCTTTCAGTTAGCAGCCCAAATTGCAATCCAATACACTACCACGGTTCCTTTGAGTAATATTGTTGTTGTTAAGTGCCATCGAGTTGTCTTCTGACTCATAGTGACCCTGTATAGGGTTTCTGAGGAGCAGCTGGTAAGTTTGAACTGCCGATCTTGCAATTCAAATGACCTTGCAGTCCAGTGCTTATCCTAGAGTACCACACCAGAACTCCTTGAATAATATTATCTTCCCCTTAATAAAAATGTTGTTGTTGTTGTTAAGTGCCATCCAGTTGATTCTGACTCACAGTGACCCTGTATAGGGTTTCCGAGGAACTGCTGGTGAGTTTGAACCACTGACCTTGCGGTTCAAATCAAACTTCAGGTCAAGTGCGTATCTATCTTATGTTGCCACACCAGGGAAACTAAGATCAAATGAGCACTTTTCAAAAGCTCAACATATTCTGCAAAATATTTTAGATGGTATAATTCACAGTAACCATTTGAGGCAGGTCCTAATATTGACAACATATTCCAGATAAGGTAGTGAGGGCTCAAGGAGGATGAGTAAGTCAGTACACTCATAAAAGGCAGAATTGGGATATAAACACAGAAATGTTGTTCTAGAACCAGGGCTCTCATCCCTGGAAACACAAAAGAAGAAGCAAATTTGAAATGGTAAAGAAGTATTTATGGCATTTTTACCCTAAGACTCTATGATTAGTTCTTTTAAATTAAACTTAAAATTCTATTTTGAATGTTATGCTTTAGTTGTTACCCTTAAGATGACTAAACTCATACTGGAATAATACAAACTGTGGATGGAAACCATGTGCTTAGTGACAACTTAAAATTATCCTAAAATCCGCTGCAACCCAGCATATCTATGATATTTCAAAATAAAATAAAACAAATTTAGCAAATAATTAACAAAGGTCTTACATAAGAAATGACTAAAAGCTCAGTAAATGTATCTGATACTTATCTTTTAAAGAGTTATGCAAAATAGCATTTAAACTAACCCATGCAAGTATGCATAAAGAAAATTTGCAGCCAAGTTATTACTTACAAAATTTTAATGATTTTAATGAATTTAATCTGACTATATTCTAAAAATAAACATGAATTTACTTTTAAAAACACTACAAGGTAATGTGCAGCAATATACTATACTAATTTCTTACATAGATAGCATTTTCCCTATAATAACAGATTACCACTGGAGTCCTGGTGTGGTGCTGGAGGATAAGTACTGGACTGCAAGGTTAGTTTGAACCGCAAGGCTGGTGGTTCAAACTCAGCAGCCACTCCTCAGAAAGGTCGCACTGAGTCAGAACCGACTTAATGGGACTTAACAACAACAACTGGGGTCCCTACAGAGAAGGGACCTGTAATATTTCCTTTAACTAGATAATTTTAAATCTACTTGGCTCTATTACTTGCATTATTTTTTCAAATACATTTCACTTACTGATCTTAATGTTGCATAATATTTTCTGCTCCTTTATCATTGTTTTCTCAAGAGGTAACTTTTTGTTTAGCATTTCAGAAGTACAGTTAAAAAACAGAATTCTTCCATGAACTTTCAGAAGCCCCTTGTATTTAAATTCCATTGTTACTATATGAGATTCTACAAGGTACTCTTGGTAAGGAAAAATTAAAGACAGTATACAAATTTAATACGAATGGCTAGTTCCCTGACCCTAGAGACTCAGCTTTCTTCTCAAATTTCCAGACACTTGTAGTATTATCTATTTTTCATAAATTTTTTATAATTTCTAGAAATTAAAATTAATCTATATAAAACATAGTTTCTTTCTACTTTCCACTAATTCTGTTCCCCAAAAATCAATCATCCCACTTAGGATTCACCACCATTTGAATCACCAATTCTTGTCGATTCCCTTTGAATTCAGAACTTGGCCTGACTATTGGCTAAGAGTCCGTGGCTTATCTGTCCCATTGGGATTTGACCCTTTACCCAGATCTGAACTTGAGCAGGTCTCTCCCTCCTGACTGAGCACTTCCTCCTTTATTCAGGAGAGCCTATATTCCATACTATGGGGTAATAGCTATGAATCCCAGACCCTCATTGTCTTGTTAAACATGAAGTCCAAAGCAACACATTTAAACAGCAGCTCTCTCCTTCACTTACTTTTCCCATCTGCATCTCCCACCAAGGACTAATTCCAGTCTTGTGTGTGTCAAAAATATTAAGGGAATCTTATTAACTTCTGACTGAAGCAGACTTTGTATTCACCCTTCTGTTTCCCATAAATTCCTTATTCACTATGGAGCTCTAGAAACAGATTTACTTGTCATGTAGTCTTCCAGGCTCTCTCCACTCCTACTTTTTTCTCCCCTTCTCTTGAACAGGAAAAGGTAAAAACATTCACTGCCTTCTCCTCCCAGGAGTCAAGCAAGAATGTTAATCAAGTTTCTGAGCAAGAACAATCCTCTCCAGGAGTCAAGCTAGAATGTTAATCAGGTTACTGAGTGGGACCAATCTTCTGGTTTCCCTCCTATCTTCAAACAGGTCCGCAACCTAACCCCTCCCTAATTCTGACCCCATATAAGCCTGTACTGCCCTGTACTCGGGGCTCAGAATCTGGAGAAGTTAGCTCCTCTGAGCCAGGTGGGTTAAAATCTGAAACTCTGCTTAGAAAAAAAAAAAAAAAATTTAATCATCCTAGGAATTGTCCTTAAAAGTTCAGACTACCTGCCAAATAAAGAATACCACTGGGATAAAAAAAATATGGCCCAGGATCAGGCAGTGTTTCATTTAGCTGTGCATAAGGTCGCTATGGGTAGGTACCAACCAGATGGCACCTAACAACAACAACAAGAAAAGAACTTTTGGGCATCCCAAAGGCTATCCCAGATAAAACTTCCCCAAATGAGGTGATAGCTATGAGATAAAAGGTAAAATTTCAAGTCACTTCTTTTTATCTGTTTCAAATACGAGGAGGCTTCAAAACGTTCATAAAAATTTCTATTATCTCCTAATTCCATATTTCCATGAGCTTTGTGAAGCCTTTTTGTACAGTATACATAAAGCAAACCAAACCATTTGCCAAGTTAATTCCGACTCATAATAACCCTATGTCCACATAGAGATGTCAAGGCTATAAATTTTATGGAAGCAGACTATCATATTTTGCTCCTTCAGAGCAGCTGGTGGGTTCAAACAGTTAACTTTCAGATAACAGCTAAGTGTTTAATCCCTGCAGCATCACCAGGGTGCATTTTGTCTGTGTGTGCATATATATACAAACATACATACATGTATATATGTATCTGTGCATGTATGTATATTGTAGGACAACCATTAGACTGATAACTGCAAGGTCGGCAGTTCAAACCCACCAGATGTTTCTTGGTAACTCTTGGTGACACTGTAGTTAGGGAATAGGCTGCTAACCATAAGGTTAGTGGTTCAAATCCACAAGTCACTTCTGTGAGAGAAAGACAAGGCTGTCTGTTCCTGTAAAGATTTACACTATTGGAACCCCTATATAGGGTAGTTATGAAACAGAATCGATTCCATGGCAATGGATTTGAGTTTTAATACATATATGCATGTATAGCTATGTATTTATGTATCTATCTATAGTCTATTATCAAAAAGATTACAGTTAGAAGAGGAGCTTTTGGAGAATGTTAAAGATTTTGGAGAAAATCTTTTATAATTCAGAAATAACTCTCAAAATTCACCAGACACTCCTCTTTCCTCCCACCCCTTTAAGGAAGGAAAAGAGCTCTTTGTTTTCTAGCAGGAACCACAAGATGTGCTATTTTCTAAAAGCAGATTGTATAATCATTTGTCAATACCATGCTGTGCCGGTGCCACTTTGATCTGACTATTGTTGCTATTGTTGTTAAGGTTGTTGTTAAGTGCCAGGAGTTGGTTCTGATTCACAGTGACCCTGTATAGGTTTCTAAGGAGTGACTAGTGGGTTTGAAAGGCCAACATTATGGTTAGCAGTCCAGTGTTTATCCTACAGCATCACACAACCAAAAGTACTATATTACAGAGGTCAAGGAATCACACTTTTCACTCTAAAAAGAGCGAACAAATATTTGACCACTGAAACACAAAAGATATCATGTGTTTGAGGTTCCAATTTAAATTTCCCATTCAAAATCACAGTCATGTTGCACTTTACAATATATCCACAAAATTATCATAAACCCAAAGCAAGCAGCAAGGAAAAACAAACTCAATGTAAATCAAGCATACTTAGTATCATATTGTCTGGATAGCTTTTTCCTACTTTGATTTGAAGACCAAAAGATTAGGAAAATATTCTGTTATATTAAGCTCTCCTAAATATTCTATCAAAAGACATGGGCATAATGGTTATGTTCTACATGTAAGAAATCAGTGGATGGTGAAAATTACAGAACAATTTCTATAAATAGTTAACATAAAAATAATACTGTACTTGCTGTATCAGATTAGTTCCTCCTGCAAACGCAGCTCCATTTTCTTCTGCTATTTTGGTCTCTGATGCATTCTACCAAAACACAATAGTTTAAAAATTCATCTTTAATGTTAAAAAAAACTCAGCCTGCTTTGACGTATTTTATAAAAAAAATATTATCACAGTTCCAAATGAAAACTGTAGGATTTTATTTTTAGTTTAAAGAGCATTCAATTTACAATTAAATGAATTAAAGATATTAACAAGGACCTTTAGCTTGTAAAGTGATGAGAGTGTTTCCTAACTGACATATGGAGAACTATAAAATGCAGTATTAGGAACCACCAAGAAAGTCTCCAGTACTTTAGCAATATATCAACTTCCCAAAGTAATTGACTAAAACATAATTAGTTTTGTGAAACTAAAGACATTCTAGCAAATGTCTCTAACTAAAAAAAAAAAAAAAAAAAGGGTGGGGGGATAATTTAATAAGGAAAGGGAAAAAAAAGTAATTTAACAAGAAATGTTGAAACCAAAATTTAGAAAAAAGTATCTGAAAAATTCACACAGTATAAACAGTATTAATTATTCCTTTCTCAATGTTTCATTTATGCCATTTAATTTTATTGTGAAAATCTAACACCCTGTAATCACTAAAGTTTTGTGGCTTTGAAACAGTGACACTCCATACTTTTCTGGGGAAAAAGTTAAGAATCTCTTCTTTGAAAGTGAGGACTCAGTGTAAGCCTCAGATGGGGAAAAAAATAAGCCTTTTTACAAAACAAATTGATACCTTTAAACAAATCACTGATAGTTCTCAAAAGACTTGACTTCCTAGAATAGACATTTTTTAAATTGTGTCTTCGTTGCCTTCACAGGACTCAGTTCCACTGTTTTAAAACAATCCTATTATTGTTGTTGTTTGAGGAAAAGAGAGAGTATGAAATGAAGGAGGAGAAAGTAGGATATGTTCTATAGTCCTCGGTTTCTTGCAGCTAATGACAAACAGCTTAGCTAAGATTTTTCCTTAGTTCTATTTACTCAATTATCCTAATCAATAATTAATGTAATAGGTTTAAAAAAGAGAGAGAAGGAGAATATAAAAAGTGACAAAGGTTACTTACCCCAGTGAATACAGCAACTTTATTGATTTCTGAAGTGAATGGGTATGGAAAACGAAGGACACTGGCAAATGGCTCCACTTTTTTCTAAATACACATAAGGAGAATTATAATTGTGAAAAGTTTACCTTTTCTCTAGCTCACTTATTTTATAAAATGAGAACTGATATTGCATTATACATATAAAAATTGTTGAATTAGCAAATGTTTTGTTGTACATCACCACAATAAAAAAAAATTGAAAATAAAAACAAACTGAAATCTTTTACTTTTAGGGTGTAATTCTACCATATGTCCTCCTATTATTTCAAAATAACTCACTGACTTCAATTGTTTCGAAACATTTTACTATGGATTGAGTAAAGGTTTTCTCACTTCACTGGTTTTACATTCAACAAATCCTATACACTCTGTTTCATCTTAGTGACTACAATCCCCTCCATGCAACAGCAATTGTCCCACTTTCTCTCTGTGGTTCTTATTTCCATTCCACCTTCCTTCCCAACCCTTTTCAACTTTGTCCTTAGGTAAATGTTGTCCGTTTAATCTTGAATGGTGGGACATTCCATGGTGTGCATACCTTACTACTGTTGTTATCCCCTCTATATACCTATTTAGTGCTTGGCTGAGAACTGGGCCATGCGGGTAAGTTCTGTTCTAGACCTGAAGGGTGGTTGAGAGTCATAGTCCTCCAGTCTCTTTCTAATCAGTTAAGACTGGTCTTTTTTGTTTTTTAAAATAATTTTGAGTTTTGTTGCCCATTTTCTACCACTCTACCCAGGACCTTGGCATCCTGGAGTGGCACTGTGGGTTAATACGCTGGACTGCAAAATCAGTTTGAACTGTAGGATGGGCAGTTCACGCACACTAGCTGCTTCTCAGAAACTTCATATAGAGTCATTATGGGTTAGAACTGACTTGACAGCACTTAACAACAAAAGGACAAATGGAAATAGGAAACAGGAAGAGTGCTGTAGGGACTGCAATCACTGTCACAAAGTAAAATGCGTATAAATTTTCATGAATTTGCTCTATAAACATTTACCAAAATCCCAGATAAAAGTTTGGGAAAAAATTAAAAAAAAAAAAAAAAGGTGAAACGATAAAGCACAAGATATTCTATTTCTTCTGTAAGAAACCATAATGAAAATCTCCATCTTTCTTTTCATCTCAATATCTCAATATTCCCAAGACACTTGGCTTAAAGATGTTTTTACATATCCATAGCTCCCAGCACCTAGCATAAATGATTATCACATGACAAAACTTCTAAAAAATGCTAGCTACCTGAATTCAATTTAAAAATGCATCTAATTAATTTCTGGTTTGGGGGTGGGGAAAGCAGAGACAGGTAGTGAAAACCACCAAAACACCAAAAAAAAAAAAAAAAAAAATCTGAGAAAGCGTGGTCCACAGAAAAACCATGGAGCTTTGGATCTTGTTTAAAGTTCCGGATGCCATTTTCCTGTGCCCACTGAGAAGAAATCTGCCTGTGGAAACAAAATAGAGTGATTTCTGAATCGAACCAGCAGCAACAGTCGGCAGCAAGAAGTCCTCAGGCTGTAGGTCGGGTCCACAAACAAGCAGAGGCACTAGAAGCCGCATGGCAGAGCGTCTGAACAGAGAGGTGTCACCGATTTTTCATCTTTCACGTTTCATTTTTCACGTACCTCTCCTCACTGCACAACCCAGATGCTTTCAGATGGACAAGAGCACAACCCCCAAAGGGTCCTGCATTGCACACACAGTTTTCCAACGGCACACAGAGCAAACGCACAGCCTGCTTCTTATGACGTTTTGACCTGGAAACCAGACCCAAACTTCACCTAGGCACAGCAACGCCCAGTGGGTGTCAATCACAATTTTACTTTTGTTTTTGATTGGTGGTTTCTGTCTCTGCTTTTATATTTTTTCTGTCTTTGGTCCTATTGGCCTCACTCTCTCCCGAGGGTGGGAGCTTTTTCCCTCTACCTTACCCAAGAAGAGACAGCAACTGTACCCACATAGCCAAGCTACAAGCATACCCTGTAGTACCCAACCATCTGGACAAGAGCCAAAACCAGCTGCAAGGCATTACACATGAAAAGGGAAGCCTATCTCCAGATCATATCCACCAAGAGATGCTCAACAAGCTTAAAAACAAAGCAAGATACATCCATTTAAGCATTTAAAACTCACATACCTATTGAAAATATCCAAGAAAACACAATTAAAGATATCAACACTTGTCAAAAAACAGAAAAAATAACTGAGACAAATGAGCTGGAAGCAGACAGACATGCCAGTAGAAGAAAAGCTCTGGATCTACCTGAGAAGGAATTCAGAAGAATATTATGGAAACAAATTCAAATGCTCTGAAAAGAGGTGAATGAAAATAAGGAAGAAGTCAGGAAAGTGCTACAGGAGCAATCAAACAAGACAGATACAGCATTGGAAACAATCCAAACCCTGCAAAAAGAAGTCCACATGATTAATAATAAAATATTAGAAATGGACAATACACTGAAAGGGCAGAGGAACAGAATGGAAGAGATGGAAGGCAGAAGCAGTGAACTGGAAGACAAATCTCTCAATACTGTTAAGATAGAAAAGCAAGCAGAAAAAAGGATTAAAAAATCTGAAGAGAGTTTAAGACTCATGCTGGATAACATGAAAAGGAATAACTTAAGAATTATTGGCATTCCAGAACAGGAAGAATGACAGAAATCCACAGAAGAGATAGTTGAAAACCTTCTGGAAGAAAATTTTCCTAACATCTTGAAGGATGAGAAGATAAACATTCTAGAAGCTGAAAGAATCCCAGGAAGGACAGACCCCAAAAGAAAATCACCGAGACATATCATAACCAAACTCCTAAATCAAAGACAAGGAGAGAATCCTAAAAGCAGCCAGGGTAAAGAGAAGAGTTACCTACAAAAGCAAGCAAATCAGATTAAGCTCTGACTTCTCAGCAGAAACCACACAAGCAAGAAGGCAATGGGAGACATATATAAAACCCTAAGAGAAAAAAAAAAACAACCCAACCTGCCAACCAAGAATTGTCTATCCAGAAAAACTGTCAATCAAATATGACAGTGCAATCCAAACATTCCAGGATGAACAGAAGCTAAGAGATTTTGTTAAAGCCAATCCAGCACTTCAAAATATCCTAAAGTGAGCTCTTTGGAATGAAAATCAGCAAGAATAGACAACAACCACAGACTGACAGATGTGGCAACATCACCTGGAACTCGGTCTATAGATAGCAGAGTTCAGAATGGAACAAAATTACAGCAATGAATTCAGAGGACCTGTGAGGCCAACCAAAAATCAAAATATTAACAATGTCAAAGAAGAAAATATAGGAACAGAGATCCAGGTGGTGAGGAGGTCGAGTAGATGGCAGGATACAATAGATTGTCTTAAACACAGGAAAAACTTAACAGACTATAGGATAACCCCAAAGAAAATTACTACTTCACAACTTAGTATGAAAATGAATACCCAAGCAGAACAAGGAAACATTAAAACTAAGTAGAAAGTGACAAGAAACAGCACACACACACAAAAAAAACATGAACGCAACACAAGAAGACATGCAGAAGAAGGAACAAACAGCATCACAAAAAATTAACATAATGACAGCAATTAATCCATAGCTATCAATAATTACACTGAATGTCATTGGATTAAATGCACCAGTGAAGAGACAGAAAGTGGCTGAATGGATAAGAAAACAAGACCCTTCTGCCTGCAAGAGACACACCTTACACACAAAGACAAAAACAGACTAAAAGTTAAAGGATGGAAAAAAATATACCAAGCTAACTGCAATAAAAAACAAGCATGAGTGTCAATACTAATCTCTGATTATAACTTTAAGGCAAAAACCACCATAAGAGATAAAGAAGGGCACTACAGAATACTACACAGCATCTTTTCAGACCACATGTCCATAAAGTTAGAAAAAAACAATAAGAAGATGAAGGAAATAAAGTTTAATACATGGACACTGAATAACACCCTGCTGAAGAGCGACTGAATAATAGAAGAAATTAAATGTGAATTCAGAAAGTTCCTAGAAAAAAAAGAGAATGAAAGCACAACATACAAAATCTTTGGGACATGGTGAGAGTAGTGCTAAGAGGACAATTTATTGAGATAAATGCGCACATCCAAAAAGAAGAAAGAATCAAAATTAACACATTAACACAACATCTCCAGCAATGAGAAACAGACCAACAGAGAGAACCTACCGTGAACAAGAGAAAAGAAATAAAAAAAGATCAGAGCAGAAATAAATGAGATGGAAAATAAAAAATTATGTAAAGAATCAACAGGACAAGAAGTTGGTTCTTTGAAAGGATTAATAAATCTGGCAAACCTAACAAAAGAAAAGAGGGAGAAGACACAAATAGTACACATTAGAAACCACTTGAGCAATGTTACAACAGAATCAAAGGAAGCCAAAAAGATAATAACAGAATACTATGAAGAGCTGTACTCCAACAAATTAAAAAACTTAGAAGAGATGAATACATTTTTAGGAAAACATGACCTACCTAAACTCACACAGAGTGAAGTAGAAGCCTTGAACAGACCCCATATCAACAGAAGAAATTGATCAGGTCATCAAAAAACTCCCAACCAAAGAAATCCAGGTCCAGATGGCTTCATTGGTGAGTTCTACCAAACATTCAGAGAAGAGCTGTCACCAATTCTCAAATTATTCCAGAATATAGAGGAGGATGGAAAACTTCCTAATACTTTTTATGAAGCAAGCATAACCCTCATACCAAAACTAGGGAAGGAAGTCACTATGAAAGAAAATTATAGACCAATATCCATCATGAACATACATGCAAAAATTCTCAACAAAATCCTAGCCAACAGAATCCAGCAACACATCAAAAAGATAATACATCATGATCAAGTGGGATTCATATCAGGGATGCAAGAATGGTTCAACATTAGAAAAACAATAAACGTTATCCACCATATAAATAAGAAAAAAGAAAAGAACCACATGATCATATCGATAGATGCAGAAAAGGTATTTGACAAAATCAAACATACATTCCTGATTAAAAAAAAAAGTCAACAAAGTA